ATTCTGCTTGTAGATCTACATACAATTAACTTTATCAAGAAGACTGATTTGTTACCAACACTTTGTTTTTTTATTTACCCCGATATCTTAATTTTTTGTGAAATGTGACGGTTTAAAGAAAATGCTACATTTTAGAAACGGTCATAATTTAAATGACGGTGGAGAATAAACTACAAAATAAGTAGAGTGCTCACAATATGACAACTGTCAAATATTCGTTACTTGGTAATTGCAGTTTCATTATTATTCATTATCAGCATAATATCATGGTTTTAACGCTTACTGATGCAACATGAGCAGTTGCTCTGGTACAAGACGGTAGGACTCAGTATTATACTTCTAGAATATTGGGTGTTACAAGGTGTAGCGTCCAGAGAGCTGTACAAGGTTTTAATGAAACTGGTAGTTTTTCGAGACGAAGAGGATCTGGCAGACGACGTTCTACAAATGTTCGAGATGATCGTTTTGTAACATTAAATGTTTTGCGAAAAATAAATACTACTGCTGTCATGGTTCGAAATCGTTTAGAAGAAGTACGTCAAGTAGCTGTTAACGAAATAACGATTCGAAGGCGATTACGAGATCATGGATTACGCTCCAGAAGACCTGCAACTGGTCCGGAGTTACTTAGGAATCATAGAACAGCACGTCTTCGATTTTCCAGGGAGCATCAACATTGGAATATCGATGAATGGAGTAAGATTTAATTTTCTGACGAGTCAAGGTTTTGTTTTCGTTCTCCTGATGGCCGTGAAAGAATATACCGAAGAAGAGGCCAAAGGTTTGACCAAGCAAATTTTTTCACAAGACTCAGTTATGAAGGAGGATCGGTAATGGTTTGGGGCGGCATAAGCATGGAAGCTCGTACTGATTTAGTCATTGTTGGCGGCGGAACAATGACAGCTTTCCGATATATTCGTGATGTGCTAGATCCATATGTAATTCCATTTGCAGCATTTATACGAAACGAATTCATGTTTATGCATCACAACGCTCGACCACATATTGCGAGGATTGTATCTCAATATTTAGACGAAACAGAAATTCAGAGGATGAACTGGCCATCACGTAGCCCAGACCTCAATCCAATTGAGCACGTCTGGGACATGATGGACAGACGAGTTCATAACCGAGTTCCTTCTCCAAGTAGTTTAAATTTTTTAAAAGATGCTTTGGTCCAAGAATGGGATCAGATTGACCAGATGAAGATTCGATATCTAATAGAGGGTATGCCATGACGCATTGAGGCAGTTATTCGCGTTTGTGGGGAAAATACTCGTTATTAATTTGTAATAATTATTAGTGTATTTGTTGTTTGAGTTATTTATAAAATTATGTATTACTCTGCTAAAACTGAATAAAAAAATTAAGATTGTTGCATTTTCTTTAAACCGTCACATTGCACAAACAAATTAAGATATCTGGGTAAATAAAAAAACAAAATGTTGTAAACAAATCAGTCTTCTTGATAAAGTTAATTGTGTGCAGATCTGCTAGCAGAATTAACCTACACGGTGTGTCAAAAGTAGACGAAAAAATTGTGTTCTTTTCCCCCCTGTATATCCGGCGAGTACTAAATTACTTTTACATGTCCGAATAATAATGTTAAAACTACAGTATTTTATCTAAAATTTGCTAAAAACTTCAAATAAATCAGCCTCCGCATTTGAAAGTTAGAGCATTTTTAAATAAATCATTATTTTGAATGGATCGAATTTTAAATCGGTGAGTGTAGTCTATGCGCAAAAATAATAAAGACCGCTGGATTTATGTTTTGGGTACTTCTCAGGTAATGTTAGGTTAGGTTTGCAAACTGGTCGTGTTAATGCACTTGAAACTGGAGAATCAACCATATAAGGTCGATAGATACTTAAAGTAGTTCCAACGAACATGTAAAAGATATTAGCAGGAGGCCGGCGATAACTTGCTCAGGTGGTGATTTTAGTGGGTAAAGGGTAAAACTATTGGGAAAGGGAGAACCTGTACCGAATCTCCATAAGGGATTTCCACATATCAAAAAAATATCAAGAAGTTACTTCATCGAAAACTATTTTTTGGGCCAGTGTATCTAAAAATATACACAATAGAAAACTAAAAAGAAAATAATTTGAAAATGGAATGAATTATTTTATCACATACAAAACAACAAAAGAAATCACATTGGAATAAAAAACAATAAGAAATCGTAGAATTTGAGGGTCGGCTTTGGCGCTGAACGTGTTAAATGTTTGGGATGTAATAAGATACTTAATTTAAAAATGTATCTATATACTTGCTGGATGTTATAAGAATGGCAGTTTTTCTGTAGAAATGGTATACTGTGACGTAACAACTGGATGTCACAAGATGCAAGGTTTTTCTGGATGTCACAAAGTGTTGTTAATAAAAATATATACCGTGTATACTTTGGATCTCACAACGATAGGACGTTTTATTTTTTTAAAATGTGTATGGTTGTGATATTTTTCGCTCAGCCATAATATTTTTTTAATTAAAAGAAGTCATATTTTTATTTTTTTCCTAAAGTCTTTGCAAAGGGTGGATGTCACAAAGTCAAAATTTTTGCTGGATGTCACATGATACGCTGGTCGAGTATATATATATATATATATATATATATCTAAGACATGCACATTAAAAATATACAATTAGAAAAACATTTACCTTAAAATATGGTGGTATTCAGATAAATTATAAAAACATGAATCTACTAAATAGTTTTTAAGTTTTCTTTTAAAAGGTTCATATTTCTTTTCAGATTTAATGAAATCAGGGAGTTGATTAAAAAATTTAATTCCAACAAATTCAGGCATTTCTCAAATAATGCTGTTGAATGTCTTGGTGTTCTGAATAAATTTGCATTCCTAGTTGAGTATTCATGGTAATTTGAATTTTGTAAAAATTGGTGTATGTTGCGTTTAGCATATAGCAACGTTTTATAAATGTAAATACAGGGAAATGTTAATATTTTAAATTTTTTGAAGTTTTAATTACAAGTTTGCATTAATTCTAGATTGAAAATAAGCCGGATTATTCTTTTCTGTAAGATAAATACTTTAGATGCATTGACTGCATCACCCCAAAGAATAATGTTGTATGATATATGAGAATATGCTAGAGCATAGTAGACATTAAGCAGTTGCTCTTGGGTAAATATTGATTTTAATTTTAGTATTGCATAGCATGCGCTGTTTAAATTTTTACAAACATTAGATATTTGGCTATCCCATCCCATATTGCTATCAATATGTATGCCCAAAAATTTTGTAACATCTGAGAGCATAATTTCTGCATTATTGACATTTACTTTACAATTCTGGGTAATTAGATTTCTGGAGTAGAACTGAAGGCAAACGGTTTTGTTTGAATTAACAATTAAAGAATTTCTATAACACCATGATGTAAACTCATTAGATAAAACATTTAATTTACTAATTAATTCATCTACTGATTGTACGTTGGTGGCAATTGTTGTGTCACCTGCATATAAAATTATGTTTTCTGAGTTAATATGATTAGGCATATCATTTATGTAGCATAGAAAAATTAGAGGTCCTAAAATTGATCCCTGAGGCACACCCATATCAACACTTTCTAGTTCAGATTTACAATTTCCGACTTTGACATAGATTACCAAAAATTATTTAATTTATCTTCAATCGACCACGCTATCTTAGTATCTTTTGGACAACTAATAGCGTACGCATCCATGTAAAGAAATTAGCTCATAATTATTTTTAATTTGATTATTAGATGTTAGATCTAATCAATAAGAAAGGTATTTAGAATGAATGCTATTGTGTTCAATAAGAGGAGTAAATACATATGTGGGAGCCTGTGATGTGTTCACATATCTTGTATTTTTTATTTAAATGGGTTATTTCATTCTTAAAATTAATTTGTTATGAATGGGGGCGCTCTGGGACGACTTAAAGATGATTGATCCATTTGAGTTACAGGTGAGGAAAACTCCACCCAACGTAAAGGTTAAAAACCTCGAAAAAGAAATTGCAAAAAAAAACATCGATGTTAACTAATAACATCGGATAAAAAAACATTAAAGTGTAAAATTTTAATTTTTTAAGTATTTTCTTTGGAAATGAAGGTTTTAAAATAATGTTAATCTTTAATTCATATTGTAAACACTTTTTTATTAGATGGGCCTGACTCAATATATTTCATAACTTTACAGGAAAGTCATATATTGGACGAAATAATTTTTTTTATGTAGGATATTTATTTTATTTTCAAAAAATCAGTTTTTCATTTACATCCTAAACACACTTTTGGAGATTTTGGATAAACTAGTGGTACTAAGAGGAAAATTTAAACCTAATTACATTAAGTCCAGTGGCGCCCCAAAAAAAATATAAAAAAAATTAACTCTTGAAAAAAGACAATCTATGTTCATATGAAATTTTAATCATCAAATCGGCCTTCAATATTGTTGCCATTCAAGAACACCCTGTATAATAGCTATAACAACATCCAGCTATCATTAAACCTACATAAAATAAATTGAAAATGCAAATATAAAAAAGGAGAATGAACTCACTTATTTAAGTATGTGTATAATTAATGTGTTTATTTGTAATTTGAATGATTCAAAAAAGGTAAATAAAATAGTAAAAATAAGGTAAAATGAACATTAGGCATTCCAAACAAAATGGTTGCCTCTGAGCCTGTTGGATTTGGTAGGGTCAATGTAGTTATATAAATTGATCATCCATATATTTTTCAAAATAAACACAAGCTCATGTCTTGAAGTAAAAATGTAGGAAATAAATTTTTACTATATTCAAAGATTGACATTTGGTTTTAACACATATTTTTGCTAAACCAATTCTGATTAATAAGCACTTGTAAGGCAATTTGGCTGCTCGTTTTGAATAATCTATATATCTTTATATCATTAACCCTTTAGTTTAAAGCCAACAGGGCAGTCATTTCAACAGGTCATTGGAATGCCTAATAGGAGTTTGATAATAAAAATTACTCACCCAAGATGTGAACATAGGTCCAATGCATTTTATCTAAATCCAAGTAATAGACAGATCTAGCAAAGGCGTCTGAATCTTCCTCATAACCACCAAAAATAATCATAATGTTCTTCCATATACAGGCTGAATGACCATCTCTAGCCGGTGGGATATTTCCAGTGGTTTTAGGTGCTGTCCAGCAATGCCAAATTGTATCAAAACAAAATAAAGTTGAACAAGAAGCCCTGTCATTCCTACCACCCCATATATATACTTTATCACCATATACCACTGCTGTATGGCCATATCTAAATATTATTTGGGTAATTAGTAATACAAATATAAAGTATGTCCAAAATATATTTTAATTTATTTAAGCATGATTCTTATTTTGGACATACTGTTCTATCATTTATCACATACCTTTTATAAGGCAAAATGTCATCATTTTCAAAATATGGTAAGTCACTAACAGGATGTTGTATCCATCGAAAAGTTGTTGTATTTAATACATGCACATCCATTGAAGTGTACTCCCTAGAATTTTCTCCAGTGCAGTAACCGCCAAAAGAATATATTTTATGTCCTACGGCCACCGCGGCATGGTTCACCCTCTTAGGTCCACCTTCTAGATAAGAAATCCAAGGCATTTTCAACTATTTAAATCACTTTATTTGTACTCTATTCAAGGGTAGTGAAATAGTGTCAGTAGGGCATAACAGATGCATGTACATACATATGCTATATCTAAAATATTTGTAGTATATTCTTTAGTTTGTGTTAACAGTTATTGAAAATGTAACACTTAAAAACACTACCTACTTGTTTATTTTTTCATTTATGTGGTTAATTTGTAAACCAACATAAATCAATTAGAGTATAGGTCAAAATAATCACTGCAACAAAATACAAAATCCAAACAGCAAAATAATGTTTGATGTTTGACTTTGACATTAATTTTGACTTTTGAGAAATAACATTTTTCGCATTTTTTTTAGTTGATAATGACGTCATATATTACAATAAAAAAAATTAAAATCTTATATCGCAAAAAAATGCCAAGAAACTAAAAGTTAAAATGTCACTTGTCACTTCCGGCTGATGATGTTGACATTTTAAAATTTTTAAATAACATTAAAAAATGGGAAAATTGAGTTTACAAATAAACGCAACACTTGAAGGTCTTGAGGAATTATACACTAATCACCCCGAATATAATTTTCTAATAAAAGTGAAATGTACAAGTTGTGGAGAAGAATCTGATAAGTGGCATGATGTGTCTGAAGCCACAACATTCCCTGGGAAAACCGGAAAATCTGAAAACAATTTTATAGCCAAATGCAAACTGTGTGGAAGGGAAAACAGTCTGAATATTGTCCCTGGAAGTAACGGTATTTAAAATATTTAGTTACAAGCAAAGATAGATGGATATTCTATACCTTTATATTAATACTTTTTTCAGGGAAATATACTAATGAAGATGCCGGAAAATATAAAACTATAGTTACTTTTGATTGTAGAGGAATCGAACCTACTCAATTCACTCCTGGAGATGGTTGGATAGCTAAAGTTGAAGAAAGTGGGAAATTGTTTGAAAATATTAATTTAAGCGAAAAAGAATGGGTAGAATATGACGAAAAGAGCAAACAGTCTGTTGGCATTTACGAATTTGAGTCTAAGTTTGTCACTACTAAATAATTTTGCAGGAAATAATATGTACTGCAATTGATTTTTGAAATTTATAATTATTTTCTTATTAAACTGTTCATGTTTGGTAGTTTGGTATTTTTTTTATGAAATATCACAGTGGGGTTGGCAAAATAAAAATAATATGGTCTTGTATAATTTTTATTAACAATATCAGAAATTTCACACAATAGTTCTTGCAATCAAATTGAGTAAATTCATATTTATATACTTACACTTATTGTTTAAGCAATCTAACTTCTTAAGCATCATAATATATATTTTCAAGAAAAGTATATGGTTCATTCTTTCGAGCATTAACAAGTTTTAAAATTTTATTCATTCATTTACTCGAATTGATTGCATATTACTAATTAATACAAACTATAAAAGCACACAGGGTGATATTTTTATGTTAAATGTAATTCCTATATGATTAATAAATCCATAGAAATTAAATTTGCATTGGAGTATTTAAATATTTGGATATAAAATAATTTTGAACTGTCACTTCACAAAAAAACCACCCTGTATAGTGTTGCTATTGAATAATTTGAAGATACTAAAATTAAATATAAAAAAATAACACCAAGTTGCATAAAATATATTCAAAGGAACTAAGTTCAAGTAATATTAAAGAGTTTTTGTAGATATGGCATAAATAAATTCGTTGATTTAAATTAATGTTATAGGTATGTGTTGAAAATCATCTAATTTACAGACTCGAATTAAATAATGGCTCTTTTATTAACAGACTTCAAAAAAGGAGGACTTTCTCAATTCGAATAGTAACCATTTTCACTATGATCTAGTTACAAATGACAAGTTGTTTTGTAATAAATATTCTAATACATGCTTCAAAATTATTTCTTCCACATAAAACATACCTTTTTTATGTCAACATTTTTCAAATTGTTGTAGGTGTTAAAATTAAACACTGCTTAGAATGGCAAGTAAAATATTTTTAAAACAATACAAATATGTCAATCTTAAAACCAAAGTGAAGACTAATAGTCTAGGAGGAAAAGTTGCAATTACAAATATAATTTTGGCATGAAATGATTGAATATAAGAGTCAGCTGCATTGACAATGGTGGATTTGAAAACAAGGAAAATGGAGATAGGCCAGGCCCGGTTTTTATGAAAACATTCGAAATTAATTTAAAAACGTGTTTTTACTGTTAAACAGAAAATTGGTGGAGCAAAATCAGAACTATTTCAACATCTTTTTGTATATCGTACACTACAGGTGCAGCTGGCACTTAAATGAATACTCGAAAAGAATCATTTAAACTACTATAAAAATCAGTTTATGAAATTATTTTTTTAAGTTGCAAAGCTGTCTGCCTCCCATACTATAAAAATTCCTAATATGTAGCATAGGATGATGAATTCGAATATGTATTTTTATTTAACAATTTTCAACACAAACCTTGTGCAAATAATTAAGAAAATGATTTAGAGTACATCAGATTGCACTAAATATGTCGATTCTGTAAAATAACGAATCTAAAATAGAGGTACAATATGTTTTTTTTTAACAAACACTCGAGGAATTTATGTAAATGCTTCTAAAAATAATAGAAAATGATTACGCTAACAGTTTCTGCCTTTTGAGAATAAAAGGAAGTTTTGCATTTACATAAAAATTGATCAGGCATAAATCGTAAAACTAATGTGGCGATAAGCAACGAAATATTTGCTATCACTGAACCTATAAACTGATGAAAATCTTCACTGATACCTGTACTTTACATATCAAAAATTAAATTAGGGAATGTGATAGTTGCTTTTTCAACCACATCTTTAGGAAGAATAAAGAAATGTAAAATTGGGTATGTTTTATAAAATGTCAGTGAAGGTATCATGTTTAGAAACTTAGGTTTAATAAAAAAAAATTGTCACATTTCAACATAAACCTAGTGCTAAATTAGGTCTTATGACCGTAGAAATAGAGTGAATCACATTTTTGATGTATTTACTTAACAATATCATAGTCTTATAAAATAATAATAAAACTGGAAAAGGATACAAAAAAGAGTATCTGCAAGAAATCGTTTTGTACCAATTTATACCACTTTATTTTATCTTAAAATTAAAAAACAAAAAAAAACTTTCCTATACTAAATTCGAAATAATATCAATATTTGCATTACCCGGTTGAAAATATTAAAAACGTTCTAAATACGAGAACAGAATGAATAATTTTCAGCTTGAGCTATACTGCTCTCCTAGGCCTAAAAGCGCTATTTAAAAAAAATGTATCAGATAGTTTGAAAAGTTTCGCATCAGATGAGCTAAGAAAAATAGCTATATCTTAATTAAAACATAAAAAAAACTTAACTTGGCTTGGGAGTATACTAAGCTAAATGGCCGCATATCCTTATAATAATATTAAAAAAAAAAAGAAATAACTTGAAGAAAAACAATGCTAAAACAACTTTGAAACTCGCTTCATCTGAGATACAGCTTTTTGGCTTAGGAGGATGATTATTTGTTTATTTTATGTCATTAGTTTTTCTGTTAAATATTGTTTGTGTCCAGTGGTTTGTATTTGACAGTGTGCTATACTAATCAATTTCTAAGTTTTTTAAATAATGGAAGAACTCAAAGAAGGTGCTATGCATTGCGTTCGGTCTGCCAAGTTCCTTTAACACTTTTAACTCCAAACGACCCTTTTAGCGTTCGGTTTAGTCCGATTAGTGACAGTTTAACACGCTTAAATGTCATTTAAAAGCACCCTAAAATTTGTCCCGCTCCAGCCCCTGACTATCCGAAATCGCCTATGGTGTACAAAGTATGGAGAATTATACGTGTCCCTCAGAATCTATGAAATTAAGATGGCGTCTACCTCAAAAACTGTCCATCAAAAAGCATTAAATAAGATTTCAGAAGTGGTCAGAATAGCCCTCATGTACTATAAGGATATAATCTAATACTACAACGTGAAAGGTGATTGAACTATATGTATTGTAGAATAATTTTGATAATATTCAAATTTTATTGTAATAATATAAAGTTTATTAATTACAAAGCCGTTATAAAAAAATTCTAACTTCTGAACTTCATAATACCAAAGATAATTTTGTCAAATTGCAATTTTTACAATGTGTTCATAATTAGTCTAATAAATTGTAGATTTTACAATTAATTATTTATACATTTTTTCAATCATCTAAATAATAAAATACCATATGTATCTATCTCTTTATTACTTATGGTAGAAACCCGCTTTTTGTCGTCTGATTTACATGATGAGCAATCTATATTTATATCACTGGATTACACCCTTCTAGTACACAAGCGCCATTCTGGCCATAGTGGCCACTTTCTGAAACCTTATTTACCGCTTTTTGGTCGGAAAGGTGATTGTGTTGGTACTTTGGGATGAAAAAGTCAAATATTTATTTATTACCTTGAAAAGGGTAAAACGAGAAATGGACAATATAATATATAACTTGCTTGATCAGCGGCAACAGAAAATTCTGGAGAAAGGGCCTAAATTTAAAAAAAGTTTTGTTCCATCAGGACAATGCGCCGTGTCACATTAATGAAGTGGGCTTTGAATTACTGCTTCATGCCCCATACTCGCCAGACTTGACTCCTGCGGACTTCACTTTATTTCTAAACTAAAAAAAAGTTCACGCTGGCAAGAAAAATGCGTCCGAATCGGAAGTTATTGCCAGCAAAAACGCCTATTTTGAAGAGCTGAACGAATCTGCCTACGAAGCGGAACAAAAGGCGGTGAATTTCGTTGGGTGAAGTTTATTGAGTGACAAGTAGACTATGTCGAAAAAAAATATTTTTTTTTGACTCATTTTGTTTTATTTTATCTCTTAGGCTGGAAATTCATTCATCTCATCCTCATATTTACGCAATGCATGATTTGAGCGCCATCCTTTTTATAGTACATTTGAATAAAGTTTACCTTTAAATTTATCGGGCATTGTATAATTGTTTTAAAAATATTATTGAGTATAAAATCAAACTAAATATAATGCCTCAAACTGAAATAAGAGTCACCAATAAATATCCGCGGTTAATTTCGACTAAATAATAATCAACTAAAATGTCCATTCTGTTTGTAGGCCAGGCAATAGAGTAGATTTACATGTAAAAATTGGATTGAATCTAAAAATTGGTATGTTGGTCCAATTTGATGTCCTAAAGATCCCCTTTCAATTGTTCCCGAGCTATTAGGCCATTTTTAGGGTTGTTTTTGAAAACAAAATGAGAACGCTGCGCAAACGCATGGTATGAAATGAAAAATGTTTATCCAATCTTCATCTAGAGGATATTTGTAACAAAACACCCAGCTAGAGTACTTCCCTAGAATTTATAGTTTACCCTTTAGAGCATCCTGAAAACCACGCTTCCATGTTTTGCACTGCTTTCATTTCGTGAGCGCTATGGGCCGAACGGATGGTCACTTAAGAAAGTCGAACTAAATGCGCATTAATGAAGCCAGTAGAATCCGCTATTAGTTTAACATGCCAAGGTATGTTATAAAAAGCTGTATTTATAATAAAAGTAATAAAGGAAACCTACATTTATTTTGGTAAGTTATATATTTTGTAGAATTTCTATTGACGGCGATATTTGTTTATTTGAATATAAACAGAACTACCGGCCTGGATCATTGATGAAAATTTAGATAACTGTTTCTATTGTGAACTGTTTACTATTTCTTGTTTCATTGGGAATATTTTTTCTAGAAGTGGAAAGAGTAACATACAATCAAATATAAAAATATCAATTTCATTACCAATTTATTCGTTTCAAACTTCACAACTGGTTTTAATAGTTTTCATAACTATTTATAGTAATATGGGATCGATCAATTTAATTTATATTTTGTTTAAAGGTTATTATTTATAAGTAAATTTTCTTTTACTTCTCTCTTGGCATGGGGATTTTGGGTATTAATATCGGACAGGTTGATTTTAGTTTGAAAGGGGAGGGCATCTTTTTATCATATCATCAACTGTCATATGTCATTCCCCTCCACTGCGTTACTGTAACCAATGCAATTTAAATAGGGAAAGTGCCAGGTATGACACATCACTGAAAAGGTAATTTTAAGAGAAATTCATGTGATTATTCATTGCATTACTTTTGATTTTAGTGCCCTCTAGCGGGTTAAAAACTGTAACCTATTGTAAAGTGTAGCACTTCATTTGAAAGCTAATTTTATTAGGAATTCAATGCTTGGCATTTTGGTTGATGTGATCAAGCTTGTATTTCGTAAAGTTTGAACTCTGCAATTATTTAAGTTCTTGTTTCATTCAATTATGTTTTGTTATGTTGTTTATACGGCCCGATCGCGTTATAATGTTGGTCGGGCCGTTTAAACTGGCAACGCCGATATTATTCGTTTCCTGCAAAGCGTATTGGAAAACGTTCGATAGATAAGACTTTATAAGTTAGTGAATGGAAATCTATTCTGTATAATCACTTTGCACGTTAAGCTACCACTATGGTAATTTAATAAAGTTAGTCGCATCCATCTACACATCACAGTTAGGATTCATTACAACAACAAAATGTTTGACAAAAACAAGAGCTTAGCTAATGTCCAAGTGAAAACCACAGAGATCATTAGCGCGAACAGGAAACGAATAATATCAACGTGTGCGGTGTTCGATGTGAATAGGCATACAGCGAGAGATATCCCCACGCTGCCGGCTGACTACGTTGATATTATTCGCTTCCTCGTCGCGACTAATGCTAACTTTGTAGTTTTCACTTGTACGTTAGCAAAGCCTATTGGAGAGCGTTTAATAACCCACACTCAGAGCTGGGCAGAGTACTACATTAAAGTACTCATAAGTACTTCACAATGAGTACCTCCACAAAATACTCGTAAGTATCTAAGTATAAGTACTTATATGAATAATACTCAAAGTAAATAAGTAATTTGCAAATTTTAGAGAGTACTCGTGAAAATATCGAACAATGAGTATGAGTATTTTAAATAATTCTAGTTAGTGACTCAAGGTTACTAGAAGGAATTCTAGTAATTAGTAATAGTAAGTCAATATAAAAAACTATTAAAAACGAGAATATAAGCTATCTTCTAATAATTAGTACTTATCATTAACGTGTATGTTCAACTTTCGCATTTTAGTGTTAAAGTAATATTATATTACGTAACAAGAGTTGTAAGTAACAAATTACGCACGAAGTGAAAAAGTTTACGCACGAAACTGCGCAGCGGCGAGTGCATAAATTTCACGAGAAATTTAAGTTTTCTTATCAAAACACACGTGTATGTTATGAGATTGCATGTTATTGTTAAATGTCATTTACAAGGAATGTTGACAGTGCAATTTTTAACGTTTACTGACATGGGCGTAAAAAAAAATAAAGGTATTAGGTAGAGAATACTAAAAAGAACAGATATATATTTTAAAACGTATATACAAACGTATATACACGCGTATATACACGAGTATATACAGAGTACACTGAAATAAACATACATAGACTGAACAAGAGCAGGAAAATTTTTTTCACCTTTTCGAAAAAATGTTATTCTGTACTGAGTACTTTAAAATGTAAAGTACTTGAAAAAAGTACCGCTTCGCGTCGGGAGACAACACAACCTCAAGCTAAAATTTAATGTTTTTTCCCCTTGTATAATAAATCACTATTTTTAACCCTATATTATTTTACTTATTTTTAATGACATTGATAAGCCGAGTTCAACCATCACATTTGGGGTATAAAGTGAATAATTACGGAGTTACAAGGAGTACTAGAGTACAGAAATCGGTAGTATTCGAATTTTTAATATTAGACGATGCTGCTTCGAATCGCGATCTGTTCCGTAGCGTCACTGACTGCTGACGTGCTGACCGAGACGAAATCGAAATACGGAGGCGAATCGGGTTCTCTATGAATCACTCTGTATAGAGAAGAGCCAGACTTAAGACTAACCAGTCTTAAACTGTATTATAAATATATAATTTACTAATTATTAAAATTTTGCTTAATAATTTGTAAAACCGGTTAATAATAAAAATAATGTGTATTAATAACATTAATTTCAATGTTATTATAATGCAACATTGTGTGAGGTAAGATATAATAATTACAATAATTTTATAAACTTTTACTTAGCTACTACCTACTAATAAAGTGTTATTATCCTCATCATAAATGAATCCTGCTAACAAATGAAGTTAAAAAAAATTTCATATTTTTTTTATTTTCTAAGTTACCAAAATTAGGTACTACAATACAAATAATTAAGTCCAGCCCAGAACATCTCCCTACTCTTTCCACCGAGTTTTTTGGTACTGGCAAAATTCGCGAGCGGCAAATGCTTTCTATGTTACCTCTACTCTTTTTAACCTCTTTGATTGATTTAGTTCTAAGTTCTAACATTAAGCTCTTCATTCTTATCCGGATTTTTCATTAAATTATGTTTTGTTATGTTGTGCATTAAAATTAGCTTTCAAATGAAGTGTAAGACTTTACAATACGTAACAGTTTTTATCCCGCTAGAGGGCGTTAAAATCAAAGGAACAGAAATGAACAATCATATTGCTGAAGGGAGGGGATGGAAATGATGTATGCCATTTGAGAATATTGTAGAAAGGTGCTTGGAATAAAAATCTACCTGTTTTAAGAGATTTTTGATACTTTTATATTAAACCCTAAGCATAATAGTATTAAAAGTACCTAACGATTTTAGTGTAAATTCAAGATGAGATTTAAGTATTTTCCACCGTTCTGAACTTGACTTTTATTATTATTATTTATTATTAAACATGTTGTTTTTCTTCATAAATATAGCTACAAGCAAATAATGTACAAATCATGGTATTGATATTTCGAAATAAAACCGGTATCACACTAAATGATGTATAATTTCAGAATAACACAGTAAACTGTTTACTAAAACTAAATATGTTTCTTAAAATAGTACGAAGTTGAATGGCCATTAGGCTTAACTACGCCATTAAACTGGGTAATTTTCTACTGGTATAATTATTATTATTTCTTGCAGATATTCTACAACCCAATCACCGAAAAAAAATCACCTATAAATAACTAAATAAAAAACCTAAAACAATCGAGGCGAGTGTAATCCCGTAGTTTGGTAGTCTAGTTCGGGGTCGTGGCTGGACCCGATGGGTCCCCAATCGTGGAGACCATGCGAATTGGCTAGTCGATGAGTCAAACGATGAGCTATCGAAAATCCACCGCTGCCTTCGAGCTGCGTGAGAACTATAATCACCTGACGGGTCAGAGGCGGTACAGAATCGACGGTACGAAGGGTGCCTCTTGTCGAAACTACGTTGTAACTTTCCTATATAACAAATATTTGTGTTTAGTCAATTAGTATAGAAAATGCATCGTCGCTAGTATTTAATTTGGAAAGTCCAATGATTGTATTAGTATTTATTGTTTTTCAGGAGTTACGCAGCTGTAGCAGCCCTTCTGCGAAACGGCCTAATTTTTCGGAGGCGGAATATAACTTAATAAAAAACGAAAACGATGGTATCCGCGAACATTTTTTAGATTATACATTAGATTATTCGGTAAAATTGTGTGGGAAATTATCAAAAGTTTCAGACAGAACAGTTTATCGAGCATTAAAAAACCGAGTGTGGAAAATAAAAGAGTAAATATAGATCCTAGTTTTCCTTTTTTATATATGCAATTTTGGAAGATTACGTCAAACACGCGATTCGTCAAAAAACTAATATTGTTTTTTTTTTCGAAATCCCCACTGCGAATAAAATCAGTGCCGAGTCACAGAGGGATACGAATTTGGCAAAAATATCACTGCGAATTAAATCCAAGATGGTAATACGTTATTTTAATTATAAGCCTGACTTAACAAAACACAACGGTTGTGGTACCATCTTTATACTTCCGTTCATGTAGGGATATTTAAATATAACTAAGATACAGTAACAGATGATTCGTATTACCTGGCAGTCGCATTTCACATGTATCCATTTATTCTCGTGTCTATTTTCCACCATGACTACCAATCCAGCCCAGCCCTTAGTCAGGTAATAAGCCGTCATTCCTTCCCTACCCTCGTGCCGTTGCCCTCTAGCGAGCGTCAGCGATATTATCGCATCGGCCAGAATGTAATCCGGCGGCTGGATATTCTCCGCCAACAATTTCTTTGAACTATGAATCGCTAACACGTATCTAAAAATCCAAATAGTAGTTCAAATGTCCCGTAACCAAACTCGTTTGTTTTACCTAGGGTAGGCCGTGACGTCCTCTAGTCCCGTATGCCAGTGATTGAAAGCTAATGGTACTACAACGTATTCTCCGGCTTCCAGCATCTTGTTACATCCTACGAAGCCTCTAACTTGACGTTTACTGTGTTCCGCTAAACTACCTATTGTCGATCCTGCTCTCGCCCTGAATAGTACTACGCACAAATCTAGTTGAGATCGTTGCGATTTTTCAGACTTCCTTTGACCCTCCTAAAAGTCATTTCAACTATTAATACCGTCAGTTTTCAATAAAGTCATCTGTCAACTGTCATTGTCGTCAGTTGTCAATAAAGTCATCTTTCATAATGTTTTAATAAGAGTCTTACCTGAAATAAAGTAAAATCCACCTCGGTGGGTTCTAAAATAGTGAGATATATACACGACAAATGTTCTTGGCTAGCTAATGGTGGCAGTATTCCGGTCAGCCGTACTTCATTCCAACCGCTTCTCGCTTTACAAATATCTATACAATCGAAATATTTCAAAACGTCTGTAAAAGCTATCCAAAAGGTGCCATCTTGAGAACCATCCGGCAGTAGTTCTTGACGAAGTTCCCTAGTCCATATGGAAGAGTCATCGGACCAATCGCCTTTCCATACGAAGTGTCCTAAAAATAGGAAACTTAATAAACGTATGGCAAGTGGCAAGTAATTTTGATGTTTTTGAAATTTTTATGGCAGAACAGTTATGGATGAATCGATTGTTGATGTAACTGAAATGAGAATAATGAAAAAGCATTCACATTGCTTCCTGAATTAATATTAAAAAAAATACTAAAATTAATTTTTTATATATAAATAGCTTAAAACGACCTGTAAGCATAAAGTATCCTTGTTACTACTACCGTCTTCCATTTTCCTTTAAAAAAAACAAACAAAAATTAAAAAAAAAATAAATAAATAAATAAATAAAAAAAAAACAAAAAAAAACAAAAAACAACAAAAAACGAGAAAAACGAAAAAACCAGAAAACAAAATAAACAAAAACAAACACAAACAAAAAAAACAAATAAATAAAAACAAACGAACAAAAATAAAAACAAAACAAATAAACTAAAATAAATAAAAAAAAGGAAAAAAAAACAAAACAAAAAAACGAAAAGGCCAAAAAAACGAAAAGGCCAAAAAATAAAAACAAACAAAAAACAAATAAAAACAAAACAAATAAAAACAAAACAAATAAACTGAAACAAACGAAAAAAACGAAAAACCGAAAAAAAAAAGAAAAAAAAAATCAAAATCAAGAAAACAAAAAACAAACAAAAACAAACAAAAAAAAACAACAAATAAACAACAAAAAAACAACAAAAAAACACCAAAAACAACAAAAAACAAACGAACAAAAATAAATTGGAAAAAAAAAAGAAAAAACAAAAAAAAAGGTAAAACAGAAAAAAAAAGAAAATAAAAAAACAAAAAAAACGACAAAAATTAAAAAAAAACAAAAAACAAACGAACAAAACAAACTGAAACAATCAAAAAACAAAAAGAAAAAAGAAAACAAAAAAAAACAAAAGAAAACAATGAAAAACCAAAAAACAAATAAAAAAACCAACAAAAACAAATAAATACAAACAAATAAAAAAACAAACGAACAAAACAAATAAACTGAAAATAAAAAAAAAAGAAAAAAAAAAGGGAAAAAACAAATAAACTGAAACAAATAAAAAAAACAAAAAGAAAAAAAAAGGGAAAAAAAAGGGAAAAAACAAAAAACAAAAAATAAAAACAAACAAAAAAATAAAAACAAACAAAAAACAGAAGAAACAAAAAATAAAAAAAACAATAAAAACAAACTGAAACAAACAAAAAGAAAATAAGGAAAACAAAACAAAAAAACAAAGAACAAAAAAAAACAAGGAACAAAAAATCAAAAATCAAAAAACAAATAAAAACAAACAAAAAACAAATAAAAACAAACGAACAAAACAAAACAATCTGAAACAAATAAAAAACAAAACGAAAAAAAGAAGAAAAAAAAAAGGAATACAAAAAAGAAAAAAAAAGGAAAAAACCAAAAAACAAAAATAAAAAAACGAAACAAATAAAAACAAATAAAAAAAAAACAGAAACAAAACAAAAAACTGAAACAAACAAAAAAGAAAAACAAAAAGGAAAAAAAACAAAAAAACTAATAAAACAACAAAATTAAAAAAAAATGTATATACCTATTTAGAAAAAAAATATAAATATGTTTAGGTAATATTAGTAGATTATTAAATGTAAAAAAATGTACAATACCGGCAAAATCAAAGAGTGTACTGAATGTTCGCATTAATACAATTCAAAGCAAAAAAAATAAATATCACTTAATTCAAAAGTGTTTTACTAACCCCATGGGTTCCTAAGTTTGAGCAACCTATAACCGTTGACATCCCTTACGTCTAAAAGAGAGTAAGCGTGCCTAGGTCGCAGACCCTTGGATTGGTACTCGGCCTCGTCAACTTTCATATTCCCGCCACCGCATGAAGCTCCCATCAAAAATAAAGCTTGCCTCGATGAGAGTAATCTAAAAATAAGTAATGAACGACCATGGATGAGTTATTAGGTTATACATTTTCCCAATGTTAAAAAACCGATGAGTGAAATTATTAACAGGTTCTAATAGGTGGATGTATGAGAAATGAGAACAAAAAAGCATTAAAAAGTTTGCGTGACGTTAATAATAATAATGGAAATAATTTAAAAAATCTGAAATATCAACGAATTATAAATTTTACAGCTCAAAACCTATCTAAATTATTTCCATTATGTTACAGGAATTAATTAAGTTACTAAAGTTAACAGTTGAAAGGAATATGTATTTTTATGTTATTATGTAATGGCATAGTTTCAGCACATTATACTTACTGTGCCCATATCAAGTCTAAATCCAATTCCTCCTCAGCCGGTGCTGGTATCGAGGAGGCTTGCAACGGTATACTCTCGCAAGGCGCACCTGTCAATGTTGCTAAACCCTCTATTGCACGACCCGATACTAAAGCCTCGTAACATCCGTGAATTTTAGCCACTGCCTTTTCTATTAAAGGTACCCACAGTTGTTTTCTTTTAGCCTTAAAAGAATAATAAAAAACAATAAAGATATCCTAAGAATGGTGTTCATAATTCTTACCTGAGAATAGAACAAATGTCCCCTTTTATCACAAGGAAAATAGTCATCTACTAATACGGTTATCCAATGACCATCTTTACATAATCTAACTTGATATACACCTTGAGCGCAAAATTCTCTCGTTATTAAAACAGCCCTTACTAAATCTTCTCTCTCCGCCAATACGGCAAGAGCACTCAGTAACCAACAGTTACCCAATACCCCTAAAAATATAGATATCATTGAAATATGAAAACTATAGTCCACGCTAATATTTTTTATCTAAACAATACAGTATGTCTCTCGGACCCTCGCAATATGAATAAAAAAAATTTCTATATTGGCGTATGTTTTCCATCGTTTTTCCATAAACCGCGTTCTAATAGTATTGTTTATTAATTTACTTTACACTATTATTTAGGAAAACGATGATATATTCTTTAAATACAAAAGTTAAGTTTATCTAGAGATACCTACAATGGGTACCACAAAATATATAGAGGTGATTTAGGCAACCCCTTTTTATTAAAACTGATTAAAAACGGCAGTTTTAATTTAGCGCCATTTGTAAATTGTCATTTCAGTTCTGATTCTAAGCATTGGTTAGCGCTAATTTGCTTTAAAAGTCTAACATTGGCATGGGTCTCCAGAGATGCTTTGTGATAAATAGAAAGTTATCAATTATTATGTTTAAACCCACTTTTATAGAATTGTATCTTGAAGTGAAGCTATATGTTCTCGAAAAAGAATGTCGTGTATTAAGTGGATTACAAGGTAAATTCCTAAAGATACATACTGCTTCAGGCCTGTTGAATTGTAAAATATGAAAGATTATGGAAGTGATCCAAAGTTAACCATGGACAATTTTGTTATATTAAATCTTACAATATTTTGAAACATTTCAGAGAATTTGATGCAACTCGCTTTCATATAAGATTTATTTACTTTAAAGTCTGCCCATATTTTCCATTGTTTTTCCATAAGTGGTGTTTATTTTATGAGGTAGAATAAAATATTCGATGTAATTAAATGACTGAAAACTGATTTACTAATATCACCGAATAAAATAGTAGTTTGTGCAACAATATGATAACCATATCTACGGACAATCCATTCGAGTTGTTAACTAAATAATATTGTAAAATTTAAAAAATTTATTTGGAAATCATTCAACTAAAATATTATTTTTAAAACCACTTTTATAAAATTATATCTTGAAGTGAAGCTATATGTTCTCGAAGAAGAATGTCGTGTATTGAGTGGATTACAAGGTAAACGCCTAAAGATACATACTGCTTCAAGCCTGTTGAATTGTAAAATATGAAAAATTATGGAAGTGAACCTTTTGTTATATTAATTCTTACAATATATCGAAACATTTCAGAGAATTTGATGGAACTCGCTTTCATATAAGATTTATTTACTTTAAATACTGCCCATATTTTCCATTGTTTTTCCATAAGTGGTGATTATTTTATGAAGTAGAATAAAAAATTCGGTGCAATTAAATGAATTAAAATTGATTTACTAATATCACCGAATAAAATGATAGTTTGTGCAACAATATGATGGCCATATCTACGGGCAATCCATTCGAGTTGTTCACTAAATAATATTGTAAAATTTAAAAAATTAATTTAGAAGTCATTAAAATAAAATAACTATTTTAAAATAGTTAACAGAAAAATATGAATTTATGATTTTTGCTAATATATAAAATAAAAGTATAGCTTCACTCGGGATTTGAATCCAGGACCTTCACTCAAACTGTAATGATAACATTTGATAAAAAAAAATGGTTTTAGATACAAATATTGTAATGGATTGGCATTATCTATCGATTATTCACAGGAATCACTCAAAAATATACCGACAATCAGTTTGACAGAATTCTCACTAATTTAAAATCATTAAAAAAATAGTCTGTCAGATAATATGAGGTGGATTAGATATGAAATTATATCCGTTCAATACACTGAAAATGCCTACTTATTAGTCCTATATTTTGCGTACAAAATACAAATTCAGTAAAGTGCACAATAATTTCTATGATCTAACCTTGAGAAATATCCGACGGTTGCGGTTTCCTAAAAACGGCCCATATTAAGTCTTTATCCTCTTCTACAACTATGTTTCTCAGTCTCATCCATTTGACTGCATGAGATTCGGTTATTTCAGCGGGATTGTAATAAAGGCTGGTAGGCATCGGAGGGAAATCTTCATCCAAATAACTTTGCTTCTTCAATTTGCAATATTTCACTATGTAATTCCAATGTTTATTACTCATTTCTTGTTGCGTGAGGCGAGGAGGCTCTTTCGGATGGGAGGCACTCAGCGAGTTGACGTCTTCTCGCATTCTTTGACACATATCACAGATTATGTAAGATTTGGTATTTTCGAACGTACAAACAAGACATTGCCATGGTTGATAAGGCCCTGCGGTGATTGAATCTACAAAATTAATATGTCATAATTAATAGTGTACTTACACACTGCTCCATCAATTCTACTGCTTGTCATGTAGTTGACAACGTCGCCGAAACATGTCTCTAATATGTTGACCAATGTTATAGTCAAGAGAAGAAGAGTGCAGTAATGTAATTTGCAGAACGTAGTATAGGTTCAAGAGGTAGACATTTTATATCTCATTCTTCAATGCTTATTTGTAGTTAGTATGAAAATTTTAATACATCTGATCGGCCTAATAAAAGTTTTTATTTAGATTTAATTATGTTTCTATGGTTTTTACTGTAATAAACCTTTTCTTTTGACATATAAGTCAGACTTTATGTATTCATAACCATATCGTATGTATTTTAATTGATTCTGAATTTTGTATCAGTATATATTATAATTTTACAGTTATATAAGAATTGTTTTTGTTGGTTAATCACTATCCGTGAGATAACTAAAAGTGGACTGTAATAACTTTAAAAACTGGTTCTATTAAAAAAAAATACAATTATTCTACCTGTGCGACAAAATTTTTAAAATTAAAACAACTTTACTTTGTGAAAGTCTGAAAGCAACAACTTTTCTAAGCTAAAGAACAAACTTCATTGACACATATTTTGTCTTGTTGAGAAGTTCGGGAGTCGTAACTCACGCGGATAAAGCACAGAGGCCTATGGAATATGACGTCATATCCCCACTTTTACTGCGCTCCTCTTTTATTCAGACTATACAACTCGACGAAAACAAATACTAATAAATGAAGTGTTGGACAATCACAGATAATATGCTCGGTAGTTTTATTTTCTTGTTCGCAACCCCTGCAGAGTGAGGAGTCTAAACAATACTATAATTTATAATTTTGACGGAGAACGTATGAACTGACTCTTTGAAGGAGAAATGGAACCAGTAACAAAAATAAAAAATTGTTCAACAAATAAAGTTTGTCATTTGCCTTTTACGGTGCATCGCTAGACTTCAAAATGAAATCGTTATCTTTTTGGTTAATTTGTCAAGCCGGAGTCAATATTCTACGGTTCCCAACTAAGAGAAGTCCCGACATTCAATTCAATTCAGGTGACTTCGAAGGTCTGATTACTGGTAACTTTGTCACCAGCTTTGATTTCCGCCGTTGTTATTTTTATCTTTCTTCGATGTCTCTGTGCCCCAATGGGAATACGCGGAGCCGTTTTTTTACTACAAACATTCTTTTAACTGTTCTCTGATTGCACAGTGATTATTTTTGTGTAAAATGTGCGATTTTCATTCCTCCTCAACCTTAAAGACTAAATACTTCAAATTACAATAGTAACATCGACAAACCACCCATTTCAAGTTGGGTGATTCTTAGGGAGTCTACCAAGTATGTCCCAGAATTGCTCAATGGAGTTGAAATCGGATTGTGATGATGGTAACTACATAGTATTGATTTCAACCTCTTCAATGTAATTTTAAACACATGTACGCGCACTCTTGCATTAGCAAAAAACTGGACTAATTTAAGAATGTTTTGAAAAAAGCGTATTTGATAGGAATTATAAATAAACCTAACGATAATTTTGAAATTACTCTTGTTGCGTTAATTTACTGAAGCAAAGTAGATAGTAAAGTAAAAAAAACTTACCATGATCCAAATCGGTGAGTAAATTAATCCTTGCCTTATCGGCCTTAGTTACAGGTAAGTTCCTAATGTTTTGGATCTTCGAACTAGCGCTACTCTTTGATATATTTCTTTTTGACCTTCCGTGACGCGGTGACGGGCTCCTAGACGGCGTTATAGGTTCTAAACCGACTCTTTCCGTTTTGCAGACCTTGCACGATGAAGAACTCAAAGAATTTTTCAGCGTACATTTAGGACACGGCCAGAATTCGCCCTTTTTAAGGGTCATGTCGCTGTTTAGAGAAATCGATCTCAGTTTGGAACCGTAACACGCTTCGCATACGAGCGAGCGCTCGCTGTTGACTAGAGTGCACTTTTTGCATGTCCATTTTTGCTCTTCTGAAGGACTCTCACCACCTAAAATAGTTACCAGGTTATAATGGTGGCTATAATTTAATGGAATGCATACCTGCTAATATTTGAAAATCATCATCTAAATCTTGATCCAATGTTGCAATCGGGACTTGTAGTTTTGACTCGCTCCAATTCATAGCTCTACTACAAATCATGAACATAAATATTACTAACACAAAAAAGAACGAAGTGTCGCAAAATATTTTCAGAAAAACACATAAAAAGAAGAATTCGACAGAGTTCAATAAACTAATAGCACCAATTAAAAAGTGTATACCACCCTAAGGATAAAAATTGCATAATAGACAAGAATGTGAAATCAACAGAATTTGAAATATTTGAGGGTTTAGGACAAAATTTGTAATATTACATGTGGGATACCGAAACTAATACAAATGGCCGAAATATAAGAACGCGCATAAGATAATGTATTATGACAAAAAATTTAGAACTGAAAGAAAATAAAGATGCATGGCAAGATACATTAAATAAATATGGTATTAACGTCATAACACAAAAAAATAAGGTTATGAATAAAATACATCCACTATTAAGATATAAACGAGGCGGTCCGTGATTTTTAATATCTAGGGGTTACAGTTGAGAACAATAAGTGCTCCAAATAATCTACCGCGCAGGATCCTGTCAGTCAGTGACTGTTTCCGAACGCTGTTGAAACGAATCCTAAAATAGGCTTGATCGGTAGAAAACGATCTGATGTAAACTCTGGTATGGCAGACTTACTTCATAGCCAACTGAGAAAAAAATGTTTATGGCTCACTTGATAGTTGCTCTATAGTTAAAATAAATATTTCAATTTGACATACGTGTGAGACGTGCTGCTGATACTCCTATCTTCGGTGACAGTAACGGTACAAGGTTGATTCAACGATGGCGGGGACCTCCAACTTTTGCAAATGTCACATTTATCTACGCTAAAGCCGTTGTAAGCGAATGAACATTGTCGACAAGTCCACCGTCTTTCGTTTAAGGCCCAACTCGATTTTGATGCATTGTTTTCTTTCATAAGTTGAATTCTACAAAGAACAAAGTACTGATACAAAACAGATTCTAGCACAGCTATAGAGAATTCAATGTGTAAAAGTGAGAGTTAGGGGTACATGTTTAATATCATTGGGGCGATTCGAACGGAACAAACGCGTTCAACGTAAAATAGACGTAATATTTAACGAAAAACATGCACAATGGAGGTCTTAAGCGGGACGTTAATAATTGATCGATTTGAATAGGATAAACGACGTTTAATGTGAAACGTCAATTATAACGAAAAACATTTAAATCTAACTGACAGGTTAGCTAAGCAGTCTAAAGCGTCTGATTTATGTTCAAATATCCGAGAGAGGATAGGTTCGAATTTTACACCTGGAAAATTGTTTTTACCATTAATTGAACTGAGGGCGACCAGTCATGGCAGCTATCAGTATCAAGATGTCTAGGAAAGATAAAAGAGATAAAAAAAGTTTTGAGGGACCTAACAAATTGAAGTTTAAAGTCTTCGGAGATATATCATTCCAAACAGCATCCTTCTAGATGAAAATATGAGCTTATTAAGCTAATTTCGTGTTACTTAGAGCGATACTAAACAATTTATTGTATATAAACGAATCGAATGGAGTACAACGAATTGTAAAGTTTTGAAGAGCATGAACGCAACCCAACGGAATGGCAGATGATGAATTTTTCAGTGGTGAATGATATGAAAGTAGATGCGTTTTCCATTCCATATTAATTAATGAAGTAACCAGCAACAAATAAAAAGAATTTATTGGAAATCTATTTGAGTGGCATTCGTATGCATCTAGAAAGTGTACATACTATATTAGAAGTAACTTCTCTGTATCTGTAACGTGTGGATGGGTTACCCCCACGGAACTTAGGCCTCCTAAGATGATAAGCTTGTGATCCAGCCTACAGATTTAATGTAGTTGACAACGTCGCCAAGAGGTGCTTCTCTGATATCGGCCGGTGTTAGCCGATACTCGCCGAACACAAATCTTCTAATAAATGAGAGCGTAAAGGATATGCTGATATGCTCAATAGTTCGCACCCTCTGCAGAGTGCGGATTCTGACAGCCCCATGATATGGATATGCTTCCGTACTTGGCAATGACCAGTCCTAATGCCTGTGACAAGGCGCAGATTATGTCTAGTCATAGTCAAGTATTTGTTTGTTGCAGTGTTGTCAGGACAACTTAAGAGCTCCCTGGCAACACTGCAGTTTCTTGTTCCATCCCTTCTTTCCTTGAATTTCACAAGGGAATATTCTTTAATTAGGTCTGTCACTACCGATTTTGTCAGGCCAATAGAAGGACCAGGTCCAAAGAGTATTTGGTTGGCTGCTTTCTTGGCTAGTGAATCGGCAATATGGTTACCTTTCGATGTGGCGTGACCTTTGATCCATCTGAAGGTGACCAGGTTGTTGATGAATACTTCGGCCAAAGCTTCGTGACATTCGAGTACTAACCATGAATAAATCGTGGTCTGTTCAGGGTGAGTAGTGCTTGTCTGCTATCTGTATAGATGAGCATGTTGATTCCAGTGATATTGTTTCTGGTAATTTCTTTTGCTATGAAAATCCCCATTAGCTCTGTTTGAACTACACTGGCACTATTGCTCACAGCCCATTTTATGTTTAGGTTTAAGAATCTGGAGTATATTCCACATCATAAGCCTTGTTTTGTTTTAGAACCGTCGGTGTAGATATGAATCGTACCTGCCACTTTCAGCTCTTCTATTTGTTCTGTTATAAGGCTTATGGAAGATATATCGCGGTGAGATGGAGTCCATGTTCGTTTGAAGCAGTGGGAGCGTATCGGGCGCCTCCTGCCAAAAGCGACGTCTCGCTTCACCAGATCTTACATCAGGTTCTATTCCAACCGTGCAGAGGCGTGTCATTGACGCCAAAGCAACCTCCTTGATGCAAATATTAAGGGGAGTGAGACTAAGAATGACTTCCATGACTCTGCTTGGTGTTGTTTTCATGGCTCCTGTTATGTTGAGACATGCAGTTCTTTGAATTTGTTCTAGTTCTAGCTGTTAATTTTTGGGTTTTCGGTACCCAGACAACTGCACCGTATGTTAGCATAGGTCTTATGATAGCCGTGTAAGTCAATGCGACGGCTCTGGGGGAGAAATTGTAGAACATTACTGTTGATAAGTAAGTATATTATCTTTGGAAGGTGGTTTTATCAAAAGCACCTTCTATGTCTATGAAAACACCTAAGGCGGACTCCTTATTGTCCAGGGACTAGCAACTAGATGAAGGGCTGAATCAATAGATCTGCCTGGGGTGTATGTATGTTGGTTTGGGAGTAGTGGTGTTATTATAATCACCACGTCCCTTATGTACCTTTCGCATAGCCTTTCCAATTTCTTCATAGAAAACGATGTCAGACTAATTAGAAGTAACTTAATATTAAGATATAATAATAACCCATAAGAAATTTCTCTAGTAATATACACCAAATTTGTGGCTCAATTGAGGACTGTATTGAAAATTAAACCGCATAAAGTTTTTTTGTATATTTTATGCATTCTTTAATGACACGAGAGTGTTCATCATCTGACATATTTACCAAGATATGACGTCTTCGTAAACCAGAATGAATTAAAATCTAGTTTAATAAAAGGTGGCAATATTATAAAAACCAAGTAAGCAGTAACACAAAAGGTTCTTTCGTTCGCTGTTGGTGTAGTGTCCACCAGTGTCAAGTACACCACCGTATTAACCTAGTTTACTTCCTTCCTTATTTCTTATACACATGTCGAGCGTAATTCACTCCTGCTAAATAGCTGGTGGAGAAAGTATCCACCAGTGGACATCACACCGCCGATCGAAAGGTGTAGTGGATTTTACACCGGGACAAAGGAAAGGTATAGTGTCCGTTGAAGTAGTTCATTCCTACATCAGTGGGACGAACGAAAGAACCTAAAGATTCGTATTAATAAAACGGAGTGATTAATATCGAGATGTCAATATGACATTTATAATGTTGAAAAGTGAAACCATAGCAAAACAATTCAAATTAGCACATTATCATACCACATACAACTGTGTGGATAGTTATTCAAAACAACGTTTACCTTTTTGTTTCATTATTTTCTACTAATAAGGTAAGTTAGAGACCACCCGAACCCGATATTGATGTATTCAGAAAGAAAAAACATACATACATTCATCAATTGAAATTAACTAAAATGCATTTAAATATTACTATTTGCAATTTAGGTCAATAATAAGAGGAAGACGAAGAAATATGGCCAGATCATTGAACTTACTACAGGGTTGCCACCTGTCCTGTTTTGAAGCAAAATGTACTTCTGATTTTTTAAAGCTTAAAATGTCCTTTATTTTTTACAGCAAATGTCTTTTTTTACAGCACATATCTTTGGAAGGGACATGGTTTGTCTAAAATATAAAAGCTGAGGACCTTTTTTTAGAAGCTCGGTATAATGTCGAGGAGAATTTTTTTGTTACAAGCTCGGCGACCTTTTTTTTTAGAAGTTCAGTAGAAGGATGAGGACTTTTTGTATACCGGAGCCCCTGTCAGCATAGTAGTCCTTTATTCACTTTTCAAAAAGGTGGCAACCCTAACTTACTAGTACATCTGCTTCTAGTCTAAATACCTCGCAGGTCATCTGGTAGACACCAGAAGCAACCGGTATGAACGAACCTTGACGGAAAGTCATCACAAAAAGATCAAGCACATGACATTTTCTAGTCATCATTAACGTCATCTTAAACAAATTGTTCCAAAATCAAAGTCACTGATACATCCCGCAAAGTTTTTTCATTTTATCACAAACACAAGCTTATTAACAAAAATTTCAGATATGTTTAAAAGAAAAAATAGAACAAACTAATAAAATTTTAAACAGAAACTGGAATTGTGGTTAGTTTCTGAATAATTTAAATTAAAAACCCGTATATTAGTTTTTCTATTTCCGTTAAAGATTAGAAAACTCACTGAAACATATTTAGAAAATCAATTGCCGAACTATATTTAGAAATAAGTATCATATATTATTTACAAGAGATAATTGTTTTACTCACAGCTTGTAAATATATTATTAGCTAAACGTGTTTTTCTTGAATATTTCGAAATAATGATACTTTTTTGTATACCGTGTAATCCAAAATAAAAATTTTACATTTTAAAAAATACGAGGGTCAACAGAAAATCAAAGGGCACCCCAAGAACAACTAATGCTGGTTAAATTGATGTGTTTAGCAATTTAGCTATAGTACTGTCGAAGTATAAATAGTGATAAGGGAATTTGTGTTACAATGACAATGACAGTAGACTTATATCACTTCTTCAAGAACATGAAACATGCCGAAGAAGGGATAATGCGGTTTTGGTTTATATCACTTTTCAGCAGTATTTAAATATAATATCGCTAAAGTAATGCTGTAGTAGTACTTTTTCAGGCATTTTCGTCCTCTTGCGATTTTTTCTTTAACATTTTCCAAAAGTAATGATGCTCCAATTGCATAGGTACAATTAAGTTATTAGTGAAATTCCTAAAGAAGCTTGGTCTGTTGCTTTTGTGAAATACTACATAAAGACGTCACGTTGTAAGGTTGCTGCAGGATGAGGTTAACCTTTTATCCACTGCCACAATATTCCCCTTTTATAAATAAGGTCATTCAGTCAATGACCCACCTAATTTATTTCAAACAATTTTTAGTGTTTAATAATAAACTATCTTTACAAAAATGTAATTACATTTTTATGCAGAAACTCCTCAATTATTACCAATGTAGCCAAGATTAATAATGACTAATAACAAATTATTCCTATACTGCTCGCGCAAAAAGACACGGCTAGGCTTAAAGTGGTTTACATTTTTCAATTATTTTGCGTGTTGTGATTCGATGCGTGGATTTTCAAAATTTTCTATTTTTTTGACGATCTATTTAGATATTGTGGACTGTACAGTCGTGTAGTATAGTTATTGTAGTTTGTAGTTATTATATTATCAAACATTTATCAATGGTTTCTATTGTGACTGT